CACCTATGATATGTGACTGTAGTTTTTTGTCTTCTTTCGTTTTTGGAGTGCGTTCAATTTTGACTCTACCAACATGTTGGTATTGCAGTACGCATTTACACACCAAGGGATCTGCTAYGCAATGGTGTTTGAAGACTGTAAATAGTCCTTAAATCAAGTTSAAATTACAACAGCCCCAGACTAGGGTACACCCTATGTTTCATATTGACTACCTCCTGTTGCTAAGAAGTAGGTTAAAGAATCAAATGTATTACTTATATGACAGCTTGTTGATCATGCTACAAGAAAACAGGTGAAGTMATCATAAAAAAATAAAACCAAAAARGAAAGCCAAAAGCAAAAATACAGCTCAACAAACTGACTTGGTCTTGGTSTAGTTGCTCATCTTTGTAGTTTGTGGTTTTGGTGTGTTTTTCTTYTTTGAGAAGAAGTGGAAATGGTTGTAGTATTACTGCATGAGCAGCTGCCTAAAACACTTCTTCTTCTTGGAGAGGGTATCATGGATCCAATCCCAACCTYTCTTCTGAAGAACAATGCCTGGTGGAGTACATGCTAAATATTTAGTCTGACGTCTCCCCAGTACCTCCATGTACCAATTCCTGTAATATTTGTGGACCAGAGGAAGACTCTGGTCACAACCTTGTTTGGTTTTGTTTCTGACATTTGTSTCTGATACCAACACCAACAATCCAAGCTCCCAGTACCCAACACAGACTTCTCCTTYGAAGATTAATAGCTGGATTATATGCTAAAAACTCCTCAGTTTTTGTCACCCCACCAGCCCTCCATGAACCATATGATGTAATCTTTACAGACCAGAAGAAGACTCTTGTCACAATGTTGTTTTCTCCAACATTTGTAACAACAACAAGATAAACACAAACACAAACAYAAACAGCCTAATCTGAAATCTATATCTGTTAGATCTATATCCAATCAGAAATTGAACCCAACCAGCAGTTGCTCTGTAAGCTTGTCTGCCATTCCTTCTCCAAGGAGCAACAACACAAAGAGCTGCTCCTACAGAATGAATGCTTATTGCATCTGTTGACACTTTTCATCTCCACAACACTTTATTTAGCACACCATGGTATCATATACCCCTAATAGGGCATCRACCACACCAGACCAAGTTGACTTTGTCATCCAATCTGTTTTTTTTCTCTTCTTTTGGCTTTTGTTTTTGTTTTAATATTTTAATATTTTAATTTTTTCCATTCACTACTTTACCCTTTTCCTTGTTCACTGTGGGGCAGCTTGCTATAATGGGCTTGATCAGCGCACATGAAAAAAATCATGGCATGGCTATTCTCTWTAAAACTCCTGTGAATCAATACCTCCTATGTCCCATGAGTCCACCCTGCCTTCATTGACTTGCCAAGTTCAGTAGAAACAGTTACGCCTGTAACAAACCTCCTCAAAGGGAGGTGCTGCACATTGAAGCAACTGGGAGCATTCCTCATCTCCTTAGATATATGGCCCTGGACMTCACAGCAGTGCCTATCCTAGTTCACATTTTTAAAGATGTATTTCAGATTTTTCRAATAAGGTTGGATGCAGTGAATTGCGTTRAAGAGTTACTGTAGTCATGACTGTTGCTGGGATTGGGWATTTCAACCTTGACCACAGTACTAGAAATATGATGTCATGATGATTGGGTCATTCCAGATTTAAAACAAGTAGAGTAATTTTGTCATGTAGATGGAATCACTATGCATTCACATTTATTTGTCATGTGGGGGATCATTAGTTTAGAARAATTTCTGAGGCTGAACATGAAAGATTAAAAAAGTTACAACTAGAATCATRCCTTTTGTGTATGCTCATTATATAACAGTAAATAATAAGAACCTGCAAATAGATAGATGTTGAACCATGTGTATCTTATCAAAAGGAGAAGGTGCTTTCAGTCCCTCTCCTGAGCTCTGCCTGTGGTCTGTCTCTGTCTTGAAAGGAACCAAGAGGGCCATGCCGTCTTCTGGTCTAGTAGCAAGATGGAAATATCTAGGATGCATGAAAGGAGGATTCTTTTTCCRTTACTGCTACTRCTGCTTCCACTTTTTTGTATCCTCTTCAGACCAATTGACTCCTATTTTCCCTTGCATTTATAGATCTTCAACCAATACTGATGACTATCTCCAAAAATCAATTTATGCATGGTGGTTATAGTAAGATAAATATACAACAACAGCAGTTCTTCATGCAGACACAGACCTACTAAGAGAGCAACACTGGTGTACTACTAGATGAAAAGATGATATAGTAGTTGCGACTTWATCAATCTTTGCTCAAATATCTCCTCTGCATTCTCCACAKTGAACTTGAATAAAGGGATCACCCTTCTTTGTAAATTGCACCAAAACCCTTGGTCCCTGCTGCTTAACAAGAGCACAAAYTATTTACAACACACAAGTTACTTTCCTGYGTCCTGTTGGTTTTAAACTGCAGGAAGTTCTCTTGTRTGATTTAGTCTTGTTGCTCTACTCTTTGGTTGTTTACTACAAAATTATGARCGATGGGTTTGAAGGTGGCACAGACCACACCTACACCTACACTACACAGTGCTTCAGCMTGATGCACCAAGGTGGAACCTGAATAAGTGGAAACTGCACAGGAAASCTACCTGGAAATGAGCCTCCAGGATTCAATCCTGCACCTCAATCACAAATGAGGTGTGCACTCCACTACTGCTTGCTGCAYCATCTGCTTCTTGTTCTGGTGTAGCTTCAGAATAATTAATCTACCCACATAATAGTATTATCATTTACACCAACAAATTAAGTGTATGGTAAAGTGAACAACTAGTGCTTCTTCATACTTCAGGTCACTCTAATTGAGAAAGAATGCCAAGATTCACAGACATGATATTCTGCTTCATATACACTCAAAGTAATTGGTTTGGGGTGCTCTATTTTGGCCCTTACATCCATTGCTAAGACTGAYGATCAGAAGGTATTCATATATCTCTCCAATCATCAATGTCAGAAAGTATCAGGAAATTCTTTTTTTCTAGAAGCCCAGTAAACAAGAGCACACAGTGTTGTGTCCTCTCYGAGATAAACTAGAGCACAAAGCAAATGCTTTGATTTTACACTGGATTCAAGTAGACAAAGGGGGGCTAGTATTACTACTGTCTATTCCAAAGAGCTCAACACATTTTCTGGACCTCATGCCCTTATCTCTAGCAATCCATATCYTTCTTCTCTGCCACCAAAGTAATAATTCTTTTGCCTCTGATTGAATACCATCTTTGGTTATCACTGGTATGTCAATGGTTTTGGCAGCAATGGCAAAGGTGTTTCAACAGTATCAGTTGAATTTGGTTTTAGTAGCTCGCTCAATTAGTCACTAATCACACTAGACGCGGACTGGAGGATTCACATCACAAATCACGAGATACTTTGTGAAAACGGCTGAATTCTCATCAATAGAGACATATGGTAAACGTGCCTACTATTTTCTTCGACACGGCGTCGTTTGATTTTCGAATACACAAGTTAACTGTGGAAAGAGTGAAATCAAACTGTTTGTTATATTGTACATTCGAATTGAATTTTTGATAGTGTAAAATGATTTTTTTCAAACTCCTGATGTTTTGGACATGTAGCATTTGGAACATAAAAGAAGATCTTGTGGTAAAGAGCTTCCGGAACTACTGGGCTTAAACCATGGCACCTGTAGAGTCACGGACGAGCTCAAAGTTTGTGGCAAGTTCTTTTGTTCTCTCATCTTCGATGYTCTCACCGCACTTGAACAAGCGTTCCTTTCGTTTCTTCGAAAACATACCCACGCATAATCCTGCTAAGCCTAGTGTTGCGAAACTCACGAGAGTTGCGTTGGTGGCGTAACTGGTTTCGTCGCTTCCCTCAACACTGACGTTGAGTGTGCACGTTGCGAAGTCACTACCGCCACCTTCGTGTTTCAAATGAACCGCCATACCCATGCTGAATCCATGCCATCCAGCGTACCACGATTTRGAGGTACCGAAATTGTCAAAAAGGAAGTTGAAGTTGTACACACCTGCAMCTGGGCAACTGCTGCCGCTATTATCATCGACAAGACTGATCGCATCCGAACTACAGAGATCATACACTTCGCTACTGGAAACTTGAGTTCCGATGCCGTAAATCGAGGGAAACGTTCTAGATACGGAGATTTTTAACGGACGTGGAAGGTCGGCATTCGAAGTAACTACATGACATCATTCGAACGAGAAGCTTGGTGTGAGTATCGGAAAGATAAATGAGAGAAAAAAAGCGAAAACTAGACCGACTCCCCATCGTGTCGTCATACCTTGTCCAGTTACRAAAACTTCAGAACCGTACGTGCACCCACTATTTGAATGATCGCATGTTATCGATGTTACTATGAGGTCGCTCAGGTGCCCGGTACAAGAAGCCGTCGATGTCTTTGGAACCAACTTAGCCGAACCCAACACGGAAGGGATGACACTGGCAAAGTAAAGGATGGTGAAAAGGAAACCTCGTGACATGGTTGCCGTATTGACTTCTTGTTTCAAGATTATAACAGCAATKGAGAGGACTGACTTCGGATTGGATGCAATTGATGAATGTGATCAATTTCTGGAGAGTATTACGATAGGCGATGAAGCGTAAATCTGGTTTTGTGAGATCAATGAGTTCTGGGTTTCATCWCCATCGCTAAAGTGAGACTTTACAACGCCTATTTCGCAAGTAACTCAAAATTCATAAACTGTTATTCTCCTGTTTGATGCGTTGGACATTAAGTAAAAAAATCTAACGCATGGGCGTGCGTTCGCACTCCGACCGAAGGCCTTGCCTTGCGCGAAAATAGTGATTTCATTACGACTCCTTTGATTAAGAATAAAAAAATTATGGTCCCCAACCCTAATGTGATAAAAATTGAAGTCACTCATTTCTCATACGGTACGGTGAAGTAAAAAGTAGTTTGTCCTAATTGAGAAAGATGTTTTTACCKTATTATGGTACGAGCATAGTACTACTCATGCCTGGTACTGTACAAACCCTTTCGTCAATGTCGACAGACATGTCAAGTCCCACTTACACATCGAACGAGCAGCTTAGGGAGTCTGACTCTTAGCGATATTCGATATCACAATAACGTCAAACGTCGCAAGAATGACTGCTACAAAGATAACCGCCAACAATGTTTTGCTATTCGTCCCAAACATAATCGGGTATTCGCGTGTTGCCTCAACAATGGCAGCTCTGTTCCTCATGATAGCGGCTCCAGAGTATTGGTTTCTAGCAATCAATTTGTATTTAGCTAGTTTCGTCGGTGATCTGTTTGGTCAGTTCAGTCGTTCTTGCTACATAATCTAATCTCTTCATCGAATGCATTCAATTATTCGTCAGCAYAGATTCCTCATCACCTTTGAATTGCTTTCTCACGCCGAACCGACCAATTCGCATGTGACGTATAGATGGAATGGTTGCACGACATTTTGGACAAGTAAGTGGAGAGGAATATATGGCAACGCAAATTGACCGATAAACGAAAGCCACCGGATTAGGGCTTGAAATCCGCTTTCTATCTATTGCTGATTCCTCTTTCCTTCTTCGTTGATACGGCGTATGTAGACATCTTCATTTGGGGGTCTTCTTGACATGGTGACAGATCGATGCTCTACTCTTGGTTTGTTATTTGTCCTCGGAATCGATTACGAAGATGTTAATCTAAGACTGGTACGAAGAAATTCAAGCGAAGTCGACATGTTTAGTTACTTGGTTGYACTAGTAGCGTCACACGTTGCTGCACTCATTTCTCAATATTCTMMATTATTGGAACATGTGAATTATTGTCCTTGTAGGTATTTCTTTCGCTATGTTTGCTCGACATAAGTTCTCACTGGTGCCAAATGTATAGTACATCTTCCTCAGGCAAGCATCACAAGTCAGAAGGTGGAAACGAAGGAAGAAACTTTTTAGTTCGATGGTTTTACAAGTATTACTTTTTCTTTGGATACCTTTGTGTGGGAGGTACGTTCTCAATGTATATGTTTGATTATGRCATTCCCTTCAATGAATCCTATGGTCAGTAATTCGATCATGAAATACATTTTTATTGAAACGCAATTCTGACAAAATAAGCCAATTTATCGAACTTTTACAAACAACCCAAACAGCTGAATTTACATACGTGCTGGCGTATGTTGTCCAGTTTACCAACGACCACTGGATCCATCCAATATTGCTGAAGGCGATGTGGGCTGTTGTTCCAGGATGCTTCCTAAAGCAACTTGTCAACGTGATGCAACTAACTTCTGCTTGCTATGCAGTAGCAAAACAAGATGCAGAGAATAAGAATAAATGATAGGAAAAAATATTGTCCTGTGTGCGCCTTTTTATTTTAAAATTGTTGCCTACGAACATGTCCTCTACTATTCAATTTCTGACTTTTAAATCTAGGCGCTGGCGTTCCAAACGTTTTTGAAAATTTCGTTCACGTTGGTGCCTTTAGGTCTGCGGGTGGCAAAAAAGTTTTTCAAGCTTTCTTCGAAATCTTCAGCGCAGACGTGAGAAGTGATTGATGAATCCGAGGCACCTCTTCTCAGAGAGGAACTCACTCGACGAACAGCACGAATTGCAGATTCATTGACCAAAAACTCCAATTCTGCACCACTGAAACCACTTGTCACTGCTGCCACTGCAGATAAGTCTACCTTTTCGCCCAATCCCAACGAGTTCGGTCGCTGATCGTCAACACCTTGGCATTCTTGAAATCCCGGCAATTTCGAAGCATGAATTCGTAGAATATTTTCCCTCCCTACTGCATCGGGAAGTTGTAGCTTGACGATTCGATCGAATCGACCAGGCCGGATCAAAGCGGTGTCCAAAACTTCTTTTCGATTTGTAGCTGCCAGCACACAAACCCTACGCGTYGAGTCCAATCCGTCCATGCACGCTAGAAGCTGATTCAAGGTTTGTTCGGCCTCGTCATTCCCACGGTTCCCCATCATTGAATTTCCCGCATCTCTCGACTTTCCCAATGCATCTAGTTCATCAATAAAGATAATAGCGGGAGCCATTCGATTCGCTCGCTCAAACAGTTTTCTAACCCTGGCAGCTCCTCGTCCAACAAACATCTCCACAAAATCACTGCCACTAGCGTAAATAAGAGGAACCCCTGCGGCCGCTGCTGTGGCCCGGGCCAACATTGTCTTCCCCGTTCCTATAATCGAGTTCAAAAACATCAATGTGAATTGTCCAGCTCAAGATAAAACTTGCAATTTATACTTGATTTGCGTGACTCACCTGGTGGACCCTCCAACAGAAGACCTGTAGGTGCTCGTGCACCAAGAATAGCATATTTTCCTGGATTTCTTAACGTGTCTACAAGTTCCATCACTTCTTGTTTGGCATCATCTATCCCCTGAATGTCATTGAATGACGCTAGAGGAAGAGAATTTTTGTTTGCAACTTTTCCTGGAACATCCCCAGAGCCATTTGCTTGTCCGCTAAATGTCTTGTACATTCTCCACAAAATCAACATGTAAAAACCGAGAATGGCAGTCCTGGCGGCAACAACTACCGTGTTTGTGCGCTTGCGATTTGCTGCCGTGAATGGGATGTTGCTTTCGCGAAGGGTGTCGACCAACTCAGGAGATGCCGCAACTTTGTTGGTGTAACAAGAAAGTTGTGTGACTGAGGGATTTTCACCAGTGCCATTTGGTGATTCTTTCGTCAAGCGGTAAGCTATTCTTTCGGGACTGATTCGCATATTATCTACGGTCGGTGAGGTCACCCCTTTCGTTGTTTTACCGGAATTTTCAACGAGATCCAAAAAATTGCTGTAAGAAATTTCGATCGGAGGACCAACCATTCCATTTTTCATTTGATTGTGCCTCACGTATGCGCTTCTGCCGACGCTTCCAAAAAGCATCGTCGCGGTCAGGAGTTGCATGACCATGAGTGTCTTGCCCTTTTTTGAGAGCGATTTAAATCTCACGATAAATCTTTTTGGGGACGAAGCGAAGTGGGTCAATGCTTTCTGAAGGGCGACAGCCAACTTTCGAGGGTTTAGCCTGTTCTTTCGGGGCTTCTTCTTTCCCCCATCGCCATCAATGGAAGAGAATAACGAAGAACCCGTGGAATGGATTGACGGCTTACTCGTTGATTGAGCATAATACCTCCAGTGATTATTCGTGTTTTTTGCTGATGCAATGCATCGACCCTTTTCCAACAACTGTAATTTCGATCGAAAATCAGGGAAATTAGAATTGAATCCATGAACCAAGGCAGGAAGATTGACCAAGCAAGACAAGAAAAATGCCAATGAACATCTCATATTGGTTAAATTAGTGCACAATGTTTGCGCTCGTCGGACTATGTCGTGGGAGTATGTGTGTAGTCAATGCKTTGCTCACTTCGAACCAATGGGATGTTTATCGGGTACGGTAGAGTATCAGCGAACGCGAATATGATCAAGGCAAAAAATCGAAAACTCGCTAYGACGATCCTGTGTCGTCACAGATGAGAGAGATGTGTTCTCCAGCTTTTTTGTCAATTCTTAGCGCAGAGGAAAACGTTTCGATGAAAGAATTCGTTGTCCTGACGGTCAAAGGTCAGACGTCCATTTATTACACATTGGGTCATTCCTGTTATTCTACTAGTATGCAGATCTGAGGTACCAGATAATTTGATTTAAAATTACACCTAGAATTAACAATTTTTGACCCCTCACTACTACCTGTAACTTTGGCTGACTAGTTCCAAGCCACTAGAGCATCATTTGGCTTCCCAATGACCTGGATCTCTAAGAAGTAATTGTATCAACTTGGTCTGGGCGCTTAGTCTGCCTGACGTGGTGGTGGTCTAAAGTTGTTTTTTGATAGAGTTCTGGGCTATTTTCTAAACAGCAGCCGGTCTCCACTGGCCAATTGTGGCCATACCAGCTGTTAATGGAGAACTGAACACCAGCTTCAGCAATTTCCTTCTTCAGCTTTCCATACAATCTCCTTTTTGCTAAGGTGGCAGTAATTGTCACATCCCCCCTCCTAAAAGACCTCAATATACTCATCCACAATGTAAGGTGTCCATGGGGATCAAAATGGTCTTCTCCAGTTCCAAGATTTGACATGATATCAATCAAGCAATGGGCCTCTCTTGCAAGCTTGACAGACTCTGGGACAATTGGATTTCCATTAGGTGCCTTCTGTCTCCTCAAGCAATTGAATTGCTTCCTGATGGAATCCTTGGTTCTTCCATAGTGATAGCTCTGTGCATATCTATGAACCAACATGAGCCAGTTGCCTTTAGTACCAATGGGAAGGATCTCCTTGATGAGGGTCATCAAAGAGTCAAGCTCCACTTTTTGAGTAGCTTGTAGCACTGGCCTTATGGCCTGACCCATCTACTTTTCCTCACCCTCCTCCTCTAGATGATGTGTTCTTACCAGCCATCTTTYGAAAAGATATTGTGAGAAGTATGCCTCTTGTCTCAACAAGGTGTGCCTGYACCAGGAAGAACTCCACTTATGCCTCTCTTTGTTTCAATTGAAGGTATAAAGTAGAGACTAAGAGAGAGGAACTGCTGGACCTAGTCTTTGTGGCACTACCAGCAACAGCACCATGACAAGAGAGGAACAGTTCTCATCTATTAGTAATGTTCTTGTCAACTAGTAATTTATTTATCAGTCTTAACTTTGGTACTAGGCCTTTCTGTTGAGTTGTTTAATTGGTTTTCATTCTTTGGTTCCCATCTAGATTTAGATTGTTCAGCAACTGTGAATGGACCTTTGCTAAACAATCATTTTTTTGTCTAGATAATCTATTTTTTGGTCCGACTGTCTGTCTGTCTGTCTGTCTGTCAAAAGTAGATTGTCTAGATTAACAGGAGTTGCCCATTTAGAAGGGGCATCCAGCCCGCTTTACTAAATAGGTGGTTCCTATCAATCTGATTGACTAAATGATGTCTAAATAAACCAGTTGAGTCAATCTTGAAAAAGGAAAAGGGATAAACTGTCAGCTCAATGCCAGCTTTTCTAGTAATTTGGAACCTCAAATAGTTCAAAAGAATGACTAAAATGAGGGCATCAATTTGGCTTGCGTGCTTTTGGTACAAAAAAAACATAAAATTTTCAATCCTAATGATACTATGATACAACAACTACTACTAGTAGCTAAAAGGAAGACAAAAATTTCCAATACTCACAAAAGATTTTGTATTCCTTGCACTACTAGTATTAGACCCTTGTTTCCTCCCAGCAAACTAAACTGCCACACAATGGGTCTCCTTGACCTTGGACAGGAAAAAAGGATGACAAAAGCATGCCCCTGGAGAGAGGCACAGGAGGGACAGGAGGACACCAAGGATTACAATTTGTAGACATGCTGAGTCYTCCTTCCACCACCTCTTCTACTCAGGATGTAACCACGCCTTACTGAACTCCTGTGGTGTATACCACAGGGTCTTCAGAGAGCTCATCRAGTTGTTTGCTCCAGCTTTCAATAGCTACACAGCTGGCAATGTCAATGATTCAAACCTGCATTTCCAATCCTTTCTAGTGGAAAAAGAAGGAGAAGCTTAGAGAGGCTGATGCTACTTCTTGCTRCCTTGGAATGGTCCTTTGCTGTATTTTAGTGCAATTGGAAAAAAGTATCCATGACGTGGAGATCAATGCCTCTGGAGAGCCTGTGATGGAATCAAGATGCCCATCCAGTCACCAGAACATTGAACCAAACAAAGGACTTACTTCTATGTCTGGAAAGAATGTACCTTTGTGAACAGTGTACTTGTCTTTCCTCATGACAGAAGTATCAGGATTGCTATTCTCAAATGTGCCAGCAACCAAGGTGTATACAGCAACAAGATAGAGAAGATTCACAATACTTGTGATGGTGCTAAGATTGTTGTTGATTTAGCCTTTGCATTGAACAATAAGAATCATATCCTTCTCAAGAGTTCACAGACAGAACCAGAACGACAACAGGGATGCCACTCGTCMATATGACAGATTTCAGAGTGGGGAATGAGGATGCTCCAGGGATAGTTTCTAAGGATGAAAGATCATCTGCAGTTTGAAGAGCTGTGATAAAGAGCAGTATTTGGGACATTCTATTTTGTCTGTGRCACCATTCTTACTATTTCAGGTGCTCATTATTCTGTTGTTTAGGCTGCCTGAGTCTTAAATATGACGGGCCAGTCTGTTGAGTCTTTCAATGGACTTGAAATACTAATTTGGGAATTCCAGTCTAAATCTAGTAGTCAATATTGGATCAGGTCTGAGGGTCAATGACTAGATTTAGTCAATCTAGACCTCATTTTTTGTCTGTCCATCTATCAGATCTTGTAGTCAATCTAAATTAATWGGAATCACCCGACATCTACTAATTTTAGATTGAAATCCAAGAACAAAAATCTGGGACTCTCTCAACTGATCCATTTGCAAGACAACAGAAAACACCTGCCAAAATTACTGAGACCTGGTRGAAAAAGTTTTCCTACTCAGAAGAACAACAAATTGGTGCTCTCAGCCTTAAAAATGGCACCACATAAAGAAACTAATGCCCAACACAGTGCTCTTACTAGTGACTACTTTCTATTTYTGTACTTCCATATGGTAGGGACAATAAGCTCTCCATCTGGAACAAATTCAACTGGCTGAGGAGGCAGAAGCCATCAACTGGGAATCTAACAATTCCAGAATAGGTGAAACGTACAAAGGATGGCCATCACTTGATTGCTGAAAAGGAGAATATTGGTAATGGAGAGGAAAACTTTGATCCAGGGGAAGGATATGTTCTTGAAAGTGAGCCTGTTGAGGTATTGGAGGAGGCACCTAGAGTAAAAGTGTCTACAACCAAAKCAGTCGTYAACATGACTGTGCCAACACTGCTGGTGGTGAATGTCAAGCCAATGCCAGTATTGGTATTGCTACTAACAGCAGMAGCTTCCCCAAAGAAGAGATCATACACCAAATCCTCCTTCAGTACTAATGGTGAAGGGCCAAACATAATGGAGGTACTGCTGTGAGAGTCCCTTTAGCAACAGGAGACTCAAAGAATGGAGGACAAAGATGTAAGAAAAGAGGACCAAGTTCAAAGAAAAGAAGATTGGAGTGTAGACATGAGGGATATGAAAGACTYGCTAAACAAGGMGTTTCTCAGTGTTGGGGCTACATTAGCACAAGTMTTGTCCAGCACTCACCTTCAGGCRTCAAAMAAACACCATCACCATGGTGATAATGCTTAATTTGTTCTAATGGTTGCAATACTAGTGTTGGATACAAGGTTGTTGTGTTTATCTKTWGGTCCTTTCTATKTCTTTCTTCTAGACTACGCCCTCCTCAATTGCCAAGTGCAAGATGATTTTTTCAAGCACTCCTGTTACAACAGGACTGTTCTGCTTTCCAAGAAGAAAGTATGGTCTTCTACTAGCAAGGATAGGAGCTTCCATTGGTGCAAGGAACACACAAATCTTTGAAACTTCTTTGAGTATCAAATATTTGTGCATTTCTTTGTTTACTCCTAGTAGTATACTAGTAGTAGTAGTAGTAGTAGTAGTAGTAGTAGTAGTAGTAGTACTACTACTACTAGTACTACTAGTACTAGTACTAGTACTACTACTACTAGTACTAGTACTACTACTAGTACTAGTACTAGTACTACTACTACTACTACTCTTAGTAGTACTACTAAAAATTTTGTAGGATTAAAATTTTTATGTTTTTCCTAGTACCAAAGAAGCAGGGAGTGTGCCAATGCCCTCTTTTTAGTAGTCATAAAGTGGAACTATAGTTAAGATTCCAAATTCCCAAAATGACTGCTAACAAGCCAGTAGGTTGTCTGTTGAGCAACAGATCCTCCCATGAAAATTTGCACTGAATTTA